GGGAATGTGTATGTTGCCCCCAGACCGCAGTTCCCATTATCCACTCCTTCCAGAATGGTTGCTTTGTTTTTCCTCCCTTTTTCTGTTTGTTTGCTTGCTTATGACAGAATCTCTCGGCCGGATTCCCAGCCAAATCCCAGCCTTCCCAATCGGAACAAAGGAAAAGCAGTTTAAAAACCTGCAAACATATTAAACCAGTAAATTTCTTACGGGAGGAAAAGCAAATACTCCCAGCTGAGCAATTGCAAATTCGAGGGAGGGAGGAATAATATGTCTGTGCCTGGTGCTAAGCTAACAGGAGGCTATGGCAATATGACATATCTCTCAGGGCTGTCTACACTGGTTTATTAATCCATATCCATGTGCGGTCGCTCGTGGACGATCCTATGTTGTTCTGAAATGTCCATGTTTATTTTGGCGCAGTGGCTTAAGCTGCGACTAAAATGATCAAGGGTCTGGAGAACAAGCCCTATGAGGAGCGGCTCAAAGAGCTGGGCATGTTCAGCCTGAAGAAGAGAAAGCTGAGAGGAGACATGAGAACACATGAAATGCGTCACCACTCTCACAACCACCATGTCAGACTACACAGAGAAGCCACAATGAAATCCACAATTTCAACAGAAAGGAGGAAACCATGAAGATGAACAAAATCTGGCTACCAGTATTAAAAAAAACTCCAAAATTAGAACAGCACAATAGAGGGGAAACAATCAGGGAAATCTAATCACCTCTCAACAAAAGATTCCCCCAGGCACTGCCAGGCCATCAAATGCTAATCAAGGTGGTCAGTTGAAACATTCACACCTAGCTCCAGCAGACAAGAGTCCTTTGTCCCACCCTGGTCATTCCACAAATATACAAACGCATTTTCCTAGTTCCAACAGACCTCACTACCTCTGAGGATGCTTGCCATAGATGCAGGCGAAACGTCAGGAGAGAATGCTTCTAGAACATGGCCATATAGCCCGGGAAAACCTACAACAACCCAGTGATTCCAGCCATGAAAGCCTTCGACAATACATTCTTCAGCAGAGAGCTCTTTGCCCCACCCCAGTCATTCCACATATATATAAACCCATTTTCCTATTTCCAACAGACCTCACTACCTCTGAGGATGCTTGCCATAGATGCAGGCGAAACGTCAGGAGAAATGCCTCTAGAACATGGCCCTATAGCCCGAAAAAACCCACAAGAACCCTAATCATATAAAAACATAAAACGAAGAACTCACTACCTCTGAGGATGCTTTCTATAGATGCAGGCGAAATGTCAGGAGAGAATGCCTCTAGAACATGGTCATATAGCCCGAAAAAACCTACAACAACCCAATATTCCTGCTTCTTGGCAGAATGGGGTTGGACTGGATGGCCCCCAACTCTAGGATTCTATGGCCTTGCAGCTTCAAAGACTGGCTGCTTCCTGGAATTCGTTAGAAAATAGGAATTCCAGACATGAATCAATCAGGGCCAGCTAACAAACGAATCCATCAGACAGTAGGCTGAAAGGGGGCTTTTTCAGCCTAGTAATTCTACAGATATATAAACCCCGCTTGCCTAGTTTCCAACAGACCTCACGACTGCTGAGGATGCCTGCCATAGATGTGGGTGAAACGTCAGGAGAGAATGAAATATATATGTGCTATTGTGATTTTTTTCAATGCTTATATTGCTTTGTTAATTTTATGTTATGTTGTTTACTCTGTTTGTATTGATGATGTTACTTAGAAAACGCTCTGAGTCCCCTTGGGAAGATAGAGCGATACACAAATAAAGTTTTGTTGTTGTTGTTGTTGTCCAGGTCCTCCCAACAAAGGATTCCCCCAGGCAGGAAGCAGCCAGGCTTTGAAGCTGCAAGGCCACTCAATGCTAATCAAGGTGGCCAATTGCAGCATTCACACTTGCCTCCAGCAGACAAGAGTTCTCCTCACTACCTCTGAGGATGCTTGCCATAGATGCAGGCGAAATGTCAGGAGAGAATGCCTCTAGAACATGGCCATATAGCCCGAAAACACCTACAACAACCAAGAGTTCTTTCTCCCACCCTGTACAGTCCACAGATATATATAGAATTCCCCCAGGCAGGAAGCAGCCAGGCTTTGAAGCTGCAAGGCCATCCCATGCTAATCAAGGTGGCCAATTGCAGCATTCACACTTGCCTCCAGCAGGCAAGAGTTCTTTCTCCCACCTTGGACAGTCCACAGATATATATAGAATTCCCCCAGGCAGGAAGCAGCCAGGCTTTGAAGCTGAAAGACCATTCCATGTTAATCAAGGTGGCCAATTGCAACATTCACACTTGTCTCCAGCAGGCAAGAGTTCTTTCTCCCACCCTGGACATTATTCCATAAATATGTATAGGATTCCCCCAGGCAGGAAGCAGCCAGGCTTTGAAGCTGAAAGACCATTCCATGCTAATCAAGGTGGCCAATTGCAACATTCGCACTTGCCTCAAGCAGACAAGAGTTCTTTCTCCCACCCTGGACAGTCCACAGATATATATAGGATCCCCCCAGGCAGGAAGCAGCCAGGCTTTGAAGCTGAAAGACCATTCCATGTTAATTAAGGTGGCCAATTGCAACATTCACACTTGTCTCCAGCAGGCAAGAGTTCTTTCTCCCACCCTGTACAGTCCACAGATATATATAGAATTCCCCCAGGCAGGAAGCACCCAGGCTTTGAAGCTGCAAGGCCATTCCATGCTAATCAAGGTGGCCAATTGCAACATTCACACTTGCCTCCAGCAGACAAGAGTTCTTTGGACATTATTCTACATATCTATGGACATTCTACATAGAGTTCTACATATCTATGGACATTATTCCATAGATATGTAGAGGATTCCCCCAGGCAGGAAGCAGCCAGGCTTTGAAGCTGCAAGGCCATTCCATGCTAATCAAGGTGGCCAATTGCAGCATTCACACTTGCCTCCAGCAGGCAAGAGTTCTTTCTCCCACCCTGGACATTATTCTACAGTTAAATAAACCTCCCTTGCCTAGTTTCCAGCAGACCTCACAACCTCTGAGGTTGCCTGCCATAGATGTGGGCAAAATGTCAGGAGAGAATGCTTCTGGAACATGGCCCGGAAAACTCACAGCAACCCAGTGATTGTGGCCGTGAAAGCCTTCGACAACACAGTTATTGGTGGATTAGAAAAAGAATTAGATCTATAAGTTGAAAAATTGAAATCGTAAGTAAACCAAAGCCCTCTCGATAAATGGCCATCTAACCTTTGCTTAGAGGAGGGACTGCCCTGGACCCCAAAGCAGCACATTCCAGCATTGAACAGCTTTTCCCATCAGGAGGCTGTTCCTATTGTTTTTTTTGGGGGGGGATCTTTTTTCCTGCCATTTAAATCCACGGCTTCGTTGTGTCCTAGATTCCGGAGCCGCAGGAAACAAGCTCGCCTTGACATCCTTTCAATTATTTAAACGTGGCCATCATGTTCGCTCTCCGTCTCCTCTTCCCCAAGCTAAACGACTTCGGGAGAGTTTCCTTGTGTCCCAAAAAGGAATCTTGACTAATTCAGAGTTAAGTGGAGTATCCTCCTCTTGGAGTTTTAAAGCAGAGGTTGGATGGCCATCCGTCAGGGGTGCTTTGATTGTATGTTCCTGGATTGGGTGGACCTTGGGGTCTCTTTCAGCAATGTAAAACACTGCATTGGACCATTATCCACCACATACCGTCCCTTTGGCCAATCCAGCTCGCTCGGCTTATCCGGTTTAAAACTGGCTTCTCTGGCTTGATGCAGAAGCGGGGAAAGCAAAGGGAGGAAACTCCTTCCTTCTCTGGTTTAAAACTGGCTTCTCTGGCTTGAGGCAGAAGCAAGGAAAGCCAAGGGAGGAACTTCCTTCCTTCTCTGGTTTAAAACTGGCTTCTCTGGCTTGAGGCAGAAGAGGGGGAAGCAAAGGGAGGAAATTCAGCCTTCTCTGGTTTAAAACTGGCTTCTCTGGCTTGATGCAGAAGCGGGGAAAGCAAAGGGAGGAACTTCCTTCCTTCTCGGGTTTAAAACTGGCTTCTCTGGCTTGAGGCAGAAGTGGGGAAAGCAAAGGGAGGAACTTCCTTCCTTCTCGGATTTAAAACTGGCTTCTCTGGCTTCAGGCAGAAGCGGGAAAGCAAAGGGAGGAAATTCAGCCTTCTCCGGTTTAAAACTGGCTTTTCTGGCTTGAGGSAGAAGCGGGGAAAACAAAGGGAGGAAATTCAGCCTTCCCCGGTTTAAAACTGGCTTCTCTGGCTTGAGGCAGAAGCAGGGAAAGGAAAGGAAAGGGAGGAAATTCAGCCTTTTCCGGTTTAAAACTGGCTTCTCTGGCTTTTGAGAAAGAAGCGGGGAAGAGCAAGCGGAGGAAATTCCTTCCTTCTCTGGTTTAAAACTGGCTTCTCTGGCTTGAGGCAGAAGTGGGGAAAGCAAAGGGAGGAAATTTCTTCCTTCTCCGGTTTAAAACTGTCTTCTCTGGCTTGAGGCAGAAGTGGGGAAAGCAAAGGGAGGAAATTCAACCTTCCCTGGTCTAAAACTGGCTTCTGTGGCTTGAGGCAGAAGCGGGGAACGCAAAAGGAGGAAATTCAGCCTTCCCTGGTTTAACTGGCTTCTCTGGCTCGAGCTGAGGCCAGGGACCAGAATAATTTCCAACTCACTTTGTGAGTCAGAAGAAAAATGGCGAGACTAGCTTCAGAAGGGCAAAGGGACTTTCTGTTTCCTAAAAAAATTCAAAATCGCTTCAAAAAGGCAATTTTTCCAAATTTATTCTGAATTACGAAAATTCCAACTGGACCTAACCATACCTACTATTCGGCATACTGCATCACGCAGAGAGTTTCCTGCATGCTGCTCGCACAGGGTTTCCCTGTGAGCCCTGGATCTTGGATGGCCCTTGGGTTCTCTACCAACAATCTACAATGCTGCATTGAACCATCATCCATCAAATACTTTCTCCTCTAAATTCACAAAATGCACAGTTCCTTTTTTCCCAGCCACCCACCCACCCACACCATCCTCCCGTCTCTTACATGGTCTCGTCGTTCTGAAACTCCACTTTGCCGGCCACCTCCTCGTAATCCTCTCCAGCCTTTGCTGTGCCTTCAATAGTGTGGAAGGGGATGGCCACTCGCCCGCGGGCCCCTGAGGTCCTCAGCACTTTGATGCGCACGGCACCCACGCTCTCGCTCACCCGCATGGAGGCTCCCTCAAAGGTGAAGATGCCGGCGTGGTCGTCATCAAAGATGGTGACGGTTGCCATTTTGGAAGGGCCGAGGCAAGCTTTGGGGGGAGGCTCAGGCCCCGGCTCGGACCAAGCAGCCCTCACATTGCTGAGGTGGACGTAGAAGTACTCGTCCTCCTCGAAAATGTCGTCGTCGATGATTCCGACGCGCACTTCCTTGTGCGTCTCCCCCGGCTTGAAGAGCAAAGTGCCCTCGGCAAACTCGTAGTCCGAGCCAGCGTTGGCCGTCCCGTCCTCTGTGCGGAAGTCCACTCGCAGCGTGACACGGCCGGGGTCCCCTCCACGGCGGGCCACGGTTAGCACCACAGAGCCACAGTTCTCAAAGCACTGGTAATGCGATGGCTCAAAGCCGACTTTGGTCACGGACTCATCTTCTTCCACGCGCACCTCTTGCATGCTTACTGCTTTGCGGGCTTGGTCGGCGGCGTGTTTCTTGAGGATATTCCCTGCCCCGATCATCATGCGTGTGGCCTGGATGCGGTAGAAGGCTCGGCTTTTCTGTTGCTGGACCAGCACATGATAGTTGGCCATCTCAATCAACTGCTCCATGTCCTTTTCTGGGTGCTTCTGTTTGAGGTCCCTCAAAGTGCGGGCCATGTCTCGTCGGGCTTCGTCATCTTGGTCCTTCTCCCCATCCACGAGGCCTTCAGACCCCTCCTTTAGTGAGTTGTCCATCTCCATGTCCAGTTTTGGGTAACCGGTATCGCCTTCGGTCTCGATGATAAGACCCCGGGCTTTGTCAGCGCGGTACTTCTTCTGAACGTACTTGTAGAAGAGCAACCTCCGATCGGCGACCCAAGCCTGAAGGACACAGATCGGAAAGAAGAGGAACGTAAGAAGCCCTTCCCACAACTCGACCACTCCAGGAGAGAACCAGGCCAAAATGAGGTACAGCCAGATGTAGGCGAAGATGCTCCACGCCGCAGTGACAAAGAAGACCCGCAGGTGTTTGATGCGCCGCACCTCGCCTTCAGGGACCACGTGGATGCAGACTGCGATAATGATGAACATGTTGAAGGCGGCACTTCCGACAATGGTGCTGGGCCCCATGTCTCCGGCGTTGAAGTTGTGTCCCACGATCTCAATGATGGAGAGAAGGATCTCAGGAGCGGAGGAACCCAACGCCATCAGTGTCAGGTTGGAGACGGTCTCGTTCCAGATGCGGATGGTGGTGGTGGTGGTCTCGCCGTTGGGCTTCTTGATGGTGATCTCCTTTTCCTGCGAGGTGATGACTTCGATCGAGGACATGAAGCGGTCCGCGATGATGGACATGCCCAGGAACATATAGATCAACGCCACGAAGTAGACAATAGCCCTCGCCACTTTATCGCCCACGGAAGGGTTCTGGGGAAGCCACACGGGCAGGATGACGCCTTCTTTGCACTCGGTGGCCTCCTCACACTTGGCACTACGGTTGTTGCCATCCGCAGACGCGGCCCCGGTCCCGGGGTAGCCCAGGTGCTCGTCCACGGTCGCCAAGGGCGCGGGGAGGAAGAGAGCCAAAAGCAAGGCTGACGCCTTCAGACGCGACAGACGCGACATGGCGAGGGACATGAAACCTGTGGGTGAGGAAGCAGAGTGTTAATGAGGTGATGGCACATGCCTCGCATTTTGATCTCTTAAGCACAGTACGCAAAAGGCAGAGACGAGGAGCTGAAATACGAGCGGCTCTGGCTCTCTATTGACTGTAACTCCCATAATCACATCTCCGTGGCATGTTTCACCGCGAGGATCTCTCTAGAAGGCGGTTTTGTCCAAACTTGGGTCCTAAAATGCGCCCCATTTGCATTTGGACAATTTCACTATACCAGTGTTTTTCAACCTCCCTAATGCCGCGACCCCTCAATATTATTATTATTATACTATAACTTTATTTGTACCCCGCTAGCATCTCCCGAAGGACTCGATGCGGCTTACATAGGCCGAAGTCTCAAAACACAATACAACAAAACAACACCTAAAGCAAATTAAAAACAGTTAAGCAGAATAAACAACAACAGTAACAATACATCGAGACACTATAAAACTGGGCCGGCCAGAGTAGTGGGTACAAGATTAAAAGTGCTGATGTGGCAGGAGGAATGTAGGACTATAAAGTAAGTGCAGTGTGCGGTGTGCAGTGATCTTAGTTCTACTAAAGTGCTTCTAGGACTTGGTATTGGAGGTTCCTAATCTGAGAAGGCACATCGGAACAGCCAGGTCTTCAAGTTCTTTCTGAAGACTGCCAATGTAGGGGCCTGTCTAAGATCTTTTGGGAGGGCGTTCCAGAGTCGGGGGGCCACCACAGAAAAGGCCCTGTCTCGAGTCCCCACCAAGCGCGCTTGCAACGCAGGCGGGATCACGAGCAGGGCCTCTCCAGATGACCGAAGTGAACGCGTGGGTTCGTAGACGGAGATGCGGTCACGCAGGTAGGCTGGTCCCAAACCGTTCAGGGCTTTGTAGGTAAGCACCTGCACCTTGAATTGGGCTCGGAAAATAAACGGCAGCCAGTGGAGCTCCTTGAACAGGAGGGTTGACCTCTCTCTGTAAGGGGCCCCAGTTAGCATCCTGGCTGCTGCCCGTTGGACCAGTTGGAACTTCCGAGCCGTTTTCAAGGGCAGCCCCACGTAGAGCGCATTGCAGTAGTCCAATCTGGAGGTGACCAAGGCATGGACCACCCCGGCCAGATCAGCCTTCGCGAGGTACGGTCGCAGTTGGCGCACGAGTCTCAGTTGTGCGAAAGCCCTCCCAGACACCGCCGACGCCTGAGCCTCAAGCGTAAGCGTTGAATCCAAGAGGACTCCCAAACTGCGGACCTGTGACTTCAGGGGGAGTGTAACCCCGTCCAGCACAGGTTGCCACCCTATACCCCGGTCAGGTTTACGATCGACCAGAAGGACCTCTGTCTTGTCGGGATTGATCTTCAGTTTGTTCCTCCTCATCCAGATAGACACAGCGGCCAGGCACTCGTCCAGCACCTGAGAGGCCTCCTTGGAATTAGGTGGAAAAGAGTAGTAGAGTTGTGTGTCATCTGCGTAGAGATGGCACCTAACTCCAAAACTCCGGATGACCTCTCCCAGCGGTTTCATGTAGATGTTAAAAAGCATGGGAGACAGAATAGAGCCTTGCGGGACCCCACAGGTCAAAGGCCAGGGATCCGAGGCAGGCGTCTCCCAGCTTCACCATCTGGGTTCGTCCCTCCAGGAAGGACCGGAGCCACGACAAAACAATACAGTTCCTCATGTTGTGGTGACCCACAACCATAACATTATTTAAATATTAAAAATAGTGAACACCAGTCCTAGTCGATAACAATGATGTAAAAAATAAGCTAGGCTAAAGAGCAAGAGATTCCTAAGCTTCTGCAACAGCGGAGGCCAAAAGGAACTGGGGCAGTAGCCCCGCCCACTGGCTATATACTTTATGGCAGTGTTTCTCAATGCCACAACCCCTCAATACAGTTCCTCATGTTGTGATGACCCACAACCATAACATTATTTTCGTTGCTACTTCGTAACTGGAATTTTGATGCTGTTATGAATCGTCATGTAAATATCTGAGATGCAGGATATTTTTTCATTCATTGGACCAAATTTGGCACAAATGCACAATATGCCGAAGTGTGAACACCAGTAGAGTGTGGGGAAAATAGACCTTGACATTTGGGAGTTGTAGTTGCTGGGATTTATAGTTCACCTACAATCAAACAGCATTCTGACACCCACCAACGATAGAACTGGGCCAAACTTCCCACACAGAACTCCCATGACCAACAGAAAATACTGGAAGGGTTCGGTGAGCATTGACCTTGAGTTTTGGAGTTGTAGTTCACCTACATCAAGAGAGCACTGTGGACTCAGACAATGATGGGTCTGGATCAAATTTGGCACGAATACTCACTATGCCGAAATGTGAACCCCGGTAGAATTTGGGAAAAATAGACCTTGACATTTGGGAGTTGAGGTTGCTGGGATTTATAGTTCACCTACAATCAAACCGCATTCTGACCCCCACCAACGATAGAATTGTGCCAAACTTGCCACACAGAACTCCCATGACCAACACAAAATACTGGAAGGGTTCGGTGAGCATTGACCTTGAGTTTTGGAGTTGTAGTTCACCTACATCCAGAGAGCACTGTGGACTCAGACAATGATGGGTCTGGATCAAATTTGGCACGAATACTCAATATGCCCAAATGTGAACACTGGTGGAGTTTGGGGGAAATAGGCCTTGACATTTGGGAGTTGTAGTTGCTGGGATTTATAGTTCACCTACAATCAAACAGAATTCTGACCCCCACCAATGATAGAACTGGGCCAAACTTGCCACACAGGACTCCCATGACCAACACAAAATACTGGAAGGTTGTGGTGGGCATTGGCCTTGAGTTTGAGAGTTGTAGTTCACCTACCTCTGTGGACTCAAACGATAGATCGGGACCAAATTTGGCATGAATTATCTGGATTATCTGCTTCGATATTCTGGATTATAGTGTAGGAGGGGCCCCAGTTGATATATGACCGGCAAAGTGACCATTGCAATAGGGGACCCTTCCACACTTGATGCACATTGGTCCCATTATGCATCTCATTGCTCGTGCCGTTACTCCAAGACATTATCTTCGCTAAGAATACACAAAAGATTGCATTATGTAAAAGGTGATGTAGCATTCCGGCAATTGAGTTTTGTGACTATAAACACACAAATTAGCATAAGCACATGTTATGTAAATCTTATGCAATCTCCCTGTATTTTATTGCTGTGTGTCACTGGCCACCACAGGGGAGAATGGCTTGACCTGGGGGAGCAGCTAAGATGGGAAGCGCCACACTTGGGAAATTGCCTTTCTTTAAGGACAATTCCCAGGACACTGCAATAGTCAATGGTGGATTGTGGGAAGTGTTGCCTAGTATCTATCTATCTATCTTAGTACCTATCTAGCTAGCTATCTACTAGTATCTTTCTAATATCTATCTATCTACTATCTAGCTAGTATCTATTTACTATTTATCTATCTATCTAGTATCTATCTATCTATCCTGTTCAACATCTTTATTAATGACTTAGATGAAGGGCTAGAAGGCATGATCATCAAGTTTGCAGACGACACCAAATTGGGAGGGATAGCCAACACTCCAGAGGACAGGAGCAAGATTCAAAACGATCTTGACAGATTAGAGAGATGGGCCAAAACTAACAAAATGAAGTTCAACAGTGACAAATGCAAGATACTCCACTTTGGCAGGAAAAAGAAAATGCAGAGATACAGAATGGGGGCAAGGCCTGGCTCGAGAGCAGTACGTGTGAAAAAGATCTTGGAGTCCTCGTGGACAACAAGTTAAACATGAGCCAACAATGTGATGTGGCGGCAAAAAAAACCAATGGGATTTTGGCCTGCATCAAGAGGAGCATAGTGTCTAGATCTAGGGAAGTCATGCTACCCCTCTATTCTGCTTTGGTTAGACCACATCTGGAATATTGTGTCCAATTCTGGGCACCACAATTCAAGAGAGATATTGACAAGCTGGAATGTGTCCAGAGGAGGGCGACTAAAATGATAAAAGTTCTGGAGAACAAGCCCTATGAGGAGCGGCTTAAGGAGCTGGGCATGTTTAGCCTGAAGAAGAGAAGGCTGAGAGGAGATATGATAGCCATGTATAAATATGTGAGAGGAAGCCACAGGGAGGAGGGAGCAAGCTTGTTTTCTGCTTCTCTGGAGACTAGGACGCGGAACAATGGCTTCAAACTACAAGAGAAGAGATTCCATCTGAACATGAGGAAGAACTTCCTGACTGTGAGAGCCGTTCAGCAGTGGAACTCTCTGCCCCGGAGTGTGGTGGAGGCTCCTTCTTTGGAAGCTTTGAAACAGAAGGCTGGATGGCCATCTGTCGGGGGTGATTTGAATGCAATATTCCTGCTTCTTGGCAGAATGGGGTTGGACTGGATGGCCCATGAGGTCTCTTCCAACTCTTTGATTCTATGATTCTATGATTCTATCTTGTATCTATCTATATTTATCTATCTAATATCTGTATATCTATCTAATATCTATCTATCTATCTATCTATCTATCTATCTATCTATCTATCTATCTAGAATCTATCTATTTTTCTAGTATCTATATATCTATCTAGTATCTATCCAGTTATCTAACTAGATAGATAACTAGATACTAGATAGGTAGATACTAGGTAGATATATAGTATCTATCTAGTATCTATCTATTTATCTACCTTGTATCTATATATCTATCTAGTATCTATCTTGTATCTATCTATCTATCTATCTAGTATCTATCTATCTATCTATCTTGTATCTATATATCTATCTAGTATCTCAATATCTTGTATCTATATATCTATCTAGTATGTATGTATCTATGTATCTATCTATCTTCTATCTATCTATCTATCTATCTATCTATCTATCTATCTATCTATCTATCTAGTATCTATCTATCTACCTTGTATGTATGTATGTATCTATCTATCTATCTAGTATCTATCTTGTATCTATCTATCTATCTATCTATCTATCTATCTATCTATCTATCTATCTAGTATCTATCTATCTTGTA